ATGATAGATAGATAGATAGATAGATAGATAGATAGATAGATAGATAGATAGATAGATAGATAGATGATAGATAGATAGATAGATAGATAGATAGATAAGAAGGAAGGAAGGAAAAGTGGAATATATATGAATCAATCAGGATGAGCTGTATTAGACACTTGTAGTTTCATCACTGTTGACTTAGGGGGTGTAGTCCTAGCTTAAGAGATAGGACAGAGATAGGACTCAAAAATGGCTCTCCATGCTCACTTATCTAGGAAATCATGGCTTCTTTGTTATATATACCATGTTATCATTAAATCTTAAAGTCATGTATCCATGTAGGAGTCTCCTATTGTTAGGATACAGAAACGAGCATAAAAAAAGGATAGAAAGAAGGACACAAAATTCCAGTAGGAACTTTTATTTTCCCCTGGATCACGTGGGAGATCTAAGAAAGAACACTAGGGAAGCCCCGTTGAGCATGGAACCATCTATACAGTAGGTAGGAGACCACTGTATCTTCTGGAATGACTCTAATTATTATTTATAAAGTATAAAAGTCTTTATATTAGTTTTTATTCTTCTATTGTTCATTTAGTTATAACAAATAAAATTCAATAACATAAGACATTGTCTGGGGATCGGCTTTCTAGTTTATGTACTGCTCAAGTTGGATATAACTTTCTTATTCTTTTTTTTTTTATTTAGGTTTTGGTTTTGTTTTGTTTTTTTGAGACAGGGTTTCTCTGTGTAACCACTTTGGCTGCCTTGGAACTTGCTCTGTAGACCAGGCTGGCCTCAAACTCACAGAGATTTGCCTGCCTCTTTCTCCCAAGTGCTGGGATTAAGGGCATTTGCAACCATGCCTAGGAGATATAACTCTCTTTAAGATAAATTTTATGTGTGGTGTGTGTGTGTGTGTGTGTGTGTGTGTGTGTGTGTGTGTGTGTCCAGTAACAAAAATTATTCACGTTAACTAGTTTTGTTTATTAGTTTATTTTGAAATGAATAATACAGGGCAAAAATATTTCATATTGCCCTTCACTATCTCATTGCTTAAGGCGAGGGATACTTTGCTATAAGAACACCAGGAAAGGTTCCATTTTGTTAGGCTATGAATATATGGGAAGAGGGAAGAATTCAGAGAATGTTAGCATGACATTTATGAGTCTGTGAGCATCCGGATCTGGACCATCAAAACCTACAAAGGTCAGTTTTGCCATATTGAAAGGCATCTAGTTAGCCTGACAGAATCCCAAGGGTGCAGGCAGAATCCACCACAGCCAGAGATAAATACTGAACTGCTCAGAGCAATAACAGTATCTACAGCCTGGCATTTTTGCACTGGTTCCCCAGCTCAATTCCCAGTTCCCAAAAGGAGATGAAAGGGGGCCAGATAATACCACCTTGAAGTAAACTATGTCATGGGAGAGGACTTAAGGGCTTAGGGAGACTGTCTTCTCTCTAGTGGGCAGATGGGCTGAATGCCTGGGGGTAAAGGGAATAGTTCTGTCTTCCCAGGTTGTTGGCCAGGCAAATATCCCCAAAAAGCAATCTAAACAAAGGTAGTTATTGTCTGTGTGCAAAAATATGATTTATCCAACGCTCTCATTTTAATGAAATAGCCGAGGCCCAGAGGGCTGAGTGCTTGGCTGTATATTCTGCAGGTGGCCAGATAGGGTTCTCCCAAGAACTCCATGCTTCCTCGGCCTGCTGCACGGGTCCTATCTCAGGCACCCCTCTCTTGTAGCATTGATGGCCTGATCAGTAGGCTGAGATGAACGACTGAGCCGGAGGATCTGCTGCCTGAGTGAGCAGCAGTGATGAAGCAGCAGTGTTGAAGGCAGCCAAGAGAGAACACAAAAGGGAGACGATGACAAATTCATTATCAGCTCCAGCGGCAGTGGTAATGAACCGGTCATCACTCCAGTCTTTCATTTAAACTCGGCTGGTAATGTGGTCCACGACTTTGTAAGAGAAGGGAAATTTTTTTTTTGAATCTTTGTGCCGTTTTCTGTTCCTGATATTTAGCTATCTGGAGGATAAATTAACTTGTACTAGTAAAGAAGGACATCCATTAACTATTTTGTAGAAGTATTTTTGTAGTCAATTTTGTATAGATATTTTCAGTAGAAAAAGTTTAAAAATCAATATAAAGCAGTATATGCCATCTAGCATCCTTTCTCAGAGTGGGTATTCAGTTTAACAAATCATTGAATTAAACAGGCAAAAAGGTGAAAAATAAAATGAGGTTATTTTTCTTAAATAATACAGAATACTTGCCCTCAAGGGGATGAGAGTTACAAGCTGTGATATTTTAATACCAACTAAAAAAAGATCAGAATGGGGAAATCCTGATTAATTTTCATTCTCTGTGGGGGAAATGTGCAATTTAGAAATCCAGATCCAGTATTGCTGGCTGGGGAGCACCCACTAAGGAAAAGCTTATTAACACAAGCGCTCGACCACTGTGAACTAAACACGTCTCGCCTCAGATACACTGGCCTGTCCCAGAGCTTCAGCCAGCTACTAGTTTAAAGAGTAGCTTGATACGTATGGAAAACATACCTCAACCCCCGCCCAAAGTTCTTAATGTGTAAATACTCTTAGCAAAGTTGTTTTTAAAGTGAGGAGCTACTTTCAAAGATGCAACTCACTCTTTACTGCTTGAGAGTTAGTCAATAGCTACCTTGAGTGCTATCAACTCGTGAGAAGCCCCCCCCCCCCCCCCCCCGCCCCCTCCGCCAGGCCACAGTCCCAACCAAAACCAGCGACATCTCAGGAGTCTCTGAAGTCACTCCTACTGAGCCAGCCTGTTCCTCTTAACCCCCTGCGAGCACCAAAGGGTAGGAACATGTTTGGGTAACTGATGTAACCTTCTCTTTCCCTAAGGACAAAGACGTGCTTGAGGAAGAAGTTGAGCCTGCTCCCGTTAGAAGGATTCTGAAATTCAATGTTCCAGAGTGGCACTACATGCTGGTGGGAGCTTTGAGTGCATCTATCAATGGGGCAGTCACACCCATCTACTGCTTTATATTCAGCCAGATCCTCGGGGTAAGCAAGCACCTGGGCTAACTTCATCATTCTGTTCATACCTTCTGTTTTTAAATCACTGGAAAATGCCGTCTCTGATCTAATATCTCTTTGCTTTAACACACTTAGCTTTTTTTATTTTATTTTTTTATTTTTTTGCTAGCTCTCCTGCTCAACCCCAGCTCTAACGAATGAGAACTTCATACTCTTCATACTCTCCACCATGCAGAAGATAGGAAGGTGACACTCTCGTTTGGGCTGGCAAGGGCTCTCAGTCTCTACATCTATGGAAAATAAATATAGCTACAGATTGAGGCCTGAAAGAGGGCAGCTTTCCTGCATGGAAGGCATGTTTGTTGAATAATAATACAGAAGGATTTTAGGGCAGTTTTTAATCCCGCTGGTCCACTGAGGTACAAAGCTTGACTTAAAGAGCAGGTGACTGACCATGTGTCGTGTGCAAGCCTCTGTTCTGCTACTGATTGCATTCGAATGGGGATGTGGGAGGAAGTGAGAGGGAAAAAAATAATAAAGAAGTAAAAATACAGCAGGGAGAAAGAATAAACTTATTTTAATTTTTCACTTCCTTGGAGTTCTGCTATTCTCCATTTGACTGTTGCTATAGCAACAGTGGCAAACACGTATTAGGTATCATCTAAACACTTTGTGTGCATTGTATTTCCTAATAACTACTGGATGCCCAGATTCTTCTCATTGCTATTTTATAGAGGAGCAAACGAAGGCTCAGAGAATTTAGGGGATGGAGCACATGGTGGAGCTGGGATTCACATCCAGCCAGGGTGATGCAGGGGCAGGCTCTGTTTACCCCTTAGTACCACGAAATTAGTCATTAAAAGGCTGTTACATTTTCATAGTTTTCTCTCTCTCTCTCTCTCTCTCTCTCTCTCTCTCTCTCTCTCACACACACACACACACACACACACACAGAAAGAGAGAGAGAGAGAGAGAGAGAGAGAGAGAGAGAGAGAGAGAGAGAGAGATCAACAAAAAAGGAAAACCACATCCCTATCAACTTTCTCAAGGACTTGCCAGCACACCACATTGTCAGAATAACTGAAAAACTCGCATTTTGTTCCCATTTCTACATCCCTCTCTGATAGAAATTAGGACCACAGAAAATAAATGGATGTGACTTGTACAGAAAGACCTTAATAATCCACTAGTAGGACCTCCTGGGTAGAAATGTCCCTGGCCATTTTTTTAATCACATGACTTTCAGGAAGTCAGGCAATTGGAAACACAGCTAGAATGAATTGAGTTTCTGGTTACATGGTACCACAATCTTTCATGCTGAAAAATCTTTTTTTTTTTTTTTCCAGAGCTGAGGACTGAACCCAGCTCTACCACTGAGCTAAATCCCCAACCTGAAAATCTTTTAAAATAATTAAATATATTTCTTAATTTCCTAGTAGGTACAGTATCCAAATATAAACACATGTTCTTTTATTCACCCAACAAGCATTTATTGAGAGTCTCCCGTAGACATCCTGCTAGTGACTTGAGAATACCATCACATTTATGATAGAGGACAAGATCAGGCCTAGCCTCTCTAGCTGCCATTCCAGAAGGGAGAGGCTCTAGGTGGACCTCACTGAGCCAGAGGAACATATATTAGTAGGAAGAGTACAGATGAGTCTGAAATATAGAAACCTACGCCTTGATGTTGGCTGGTATAAAGAAAACCTGTATTATTAGCTTCTTTACTAATCTTCTCTTTCTAAAAGTGTTTATTTACTGACAATTTCATGCACACATGTAGTTTAATTCGGTCATGATCTCCCCTTTGCCCCCCTTTTAGCCTCCTCCCATGTACTTCAGACTCCTTCTCAACAATACCCCTCCTACCTTCATGGTCTGTTAAATGATCCACTGGATTCAATTAGGGTTGCTTGCATGAACAGGAGAGTCAGTGTGTGGGGGGGTGCTGTTTACTGAAGCCTGGGTGGCCTTCTCAGAAGCTGTAACACTAAGAAAAATGACTGCCCTACCCCAGCAGCCATTGGCTCTACTAGTTCCTCATTTAAAAGTGAGATTTCATGAACCTTTCCCTAGTCCATACTGGAATGTTGACAAGCTTGATTTGTTCAGGTCAACATAGCTGCTGTGAGCTCCTGACCATGATGGCCATGTCCATTCAGGAGATAGCATTTCACAGCTCTCCTGCTGATCCTGCGGCTCTTACGTTCTTCTTTCTGTTACCTCTTCTATGATGTACTCTGAGCTTTATGTGTGTGTGTAGGCGGGGGTTGGTGACATAGCTGAATAAAATTCCATTGTGTCCACAAACCACATTTTCATTATCCAGGTCTCAGTCGACAGACATCTAGGCTGATTCCATTTCCTAGCTATTGAAAACAGAGCTGCAGTGAGCACAAGTACACAAGTGTGTCTGCAGTAGGAAGTCATCCCTTTGAGTACATGCAACAGCAGTGTGTCTAGGCCTGCTTAAGGTACAAACCTTAACAAAAGTGAGAGAAAGAGCTATATTAGCCACTATAGAAAGTGCCTTGAGTTCCAGGAGACTCTTTTTCCTAAAATTGGCTCTGCTACTTATTGACCATGTCCTCTGCATCCTGGAGTCACATCCCACTTCTCTGGGACTCAGTTTCATTACAAAAGGGGACGTTGACAAAGATGACCTTGAAGACATGTTCTAACTCTAGTAACTGAATTGGCTAAATCAGGAAAAGTTAACGATTCAGCAAGAAGCCCTGCCCTCCTTGAGTGCCCCCTCTGTCACTGATAAAGACTTCATTCCCCATGACTCTTCCAGGCAGCCCTGAAAGTCCTGGGATGGCATTAGACTGGGCAATCAAACTTTCGGTTAAAGGTTCTACAACCAGAAAAGCAGGGTCTAGTTGCTGGAACCCAATGCCGGCTTGCCATTGATGTTCTTGTGGGGGTAACATTCACTAAGAGAATGAGGCTGAACAAATCAGTCTCTCCTCTCTGCTAGAGAAGATTATTTCTAATTTGTCTTAGCACAATCATACACTCATCATTAGACTCAAGATGCTTTCATCTCACAGGCTGTCATGAGTCTGTTGCTAGTCATCTTGTTTTTATCTTGGCATACTTTAAGGATATCATATTAGTGTGTGGCACATGAGACCACACTAAGAGACGAGTGCCCATTAAATTATTGTGCACAAATAGAAACCTGGTTGCTAACCTACCTAAGCCTCCATATACAGCTAAAATACAATATATCTGTGTCTTTCCCTGGGTTTGTTTGGAATGGAAAATTGCCAAGTGTTCAAGCCACTGTAGGTCAGATACAGCATTCTGGATGTGCGTAGACACAAAAATCAGCCAGCCCTGAAATGGTTTGATGTCTCTGTATGAAACAAGAAGCCTACCTCCTGGGTTGCTTCGAGAATCCTAAATTAAATGAGGATTTAAGGAAATCCTAATTTAAGATCGGTTAAGCCATGCATTTGACCGAGCAAGAAGTTAATGACTCCTTTCCTCCTTAAACAAATGTCACCATGACAAAAATAGAAAGATGTGCTTCTGAACCACAGCCTGTCTAGAGACAGAGGGTTCTTTCTAGTGGGACAGTGCCTGTTGGGCTACATGTCAAAACTAAGAATGTACAAAGAGCTCACAGAACAGGATTTTGTGGCAAAAAAGACTATGGGTAAAATTCAAATTCTTGAACTGAACAGTCACGTGGGTTTTCAGCATTAGCTACTCTTTCTGGACTCTGAGAACATTGATAATCCCATAAACCAAAGGGCACAACCAGAAGAAACCACTGTACCTGAAGCTGGAAATGGGGATTTCCTCAATGACAAATAACTCCTAGATGCATGGACTCAGGCAAATGTCTTGGTCTTTGTGGCCTCAGTTTTCTATGACTTAAGGAGGCGCATCTGTAATCTACAGGGACAGTGGGTGGCTTTTGTGGGGAGAAGTCATTGGCACATAATAGTTGGAGGTTCCAAGAATATCTGTGTAGCTACTTTTTAAAAAAATCTCAAATTTGTAAATTCTTTGAACTGGTTAGTTGCACAAGTCTGGTAGGAACTACTATGGTGTCTTAGAACCCATTTTCTAGAAAGTATACAGGCTGTAGAAACTGTCCTAGAAATAGTAAAATCTCACTAATCTAGAACCCCCTCCTCTCTCTAATCTCATTAATCTAGAACCCCCTCCTCTCTCTGCTTTGCAGTTTGTGTTCAGTCCTCGAACAGCTTTCTTTTTTTTTTCAATTTTATTTTTTACCTTTTCTCATTTTACAATATATTTCAAAAAATGTCATTATAGCTGCCTTAGTGGTAAGACCTGGAATTAAAAACAAACAAAAACCAAACCCTTTGAGCACACAAATGTCAGGTTGAAATAATGACCTGTACTGAACCATTACTACCAGAGCGTTACAGGTTTTAAGATAAGATGGATGATGATGCAAAATAAAATGAAAATGTGTTAAATTTGTAAACTGTGCATTGATGGTGAAGAAAGCGAGATGGGTTTGTTTCCTGGTTTCAGTACATCGGGTTCTGGCATCAAGTACTATTATTCATTAAAGCATTATGTGTCCTGAAACCTGTTTTTTCGGTTTCTGTGTATCACTTGAATCAGAGACCAGACATAGAGAGAAAAAAAAATAGAAACAGATTATTTTTGCTTCACAGAAAAGATTTATTAATGCAATATTGTACATATTGTTTTTGAGATTTATTTGGCACATAGTAGGTATTCAGCAAATATGCATTGAATAAATTGTTTTCTTTGAGAAACTCTGTGCTGGCATTGTTCTAGCTACTCAAATTATTTCAGAACTGTTGGACTGGAGTAATAAAGTACTTACCACGCAATCATAAGGACCCGAGTCCAATGCCCAGAATCCACACAAAAAGCTAGATGTTGTGGTACACACGTGTAATCCCAGCAGTGGGGAGACCAGAGGATCCTCTCTAGGACTCACTGGCAAAACTGACTAGTTCCAGGTCAGTGAGAGAGCCTGGAGAGGGAAAGGAAAAGGGGGAGATGAGGACACAGACACAGACACAGACACAGACACAGACACAGACACACACACACACACACACACACACACACACACACACACACACACAGACACACAGATTCCGTGTGTGTGTGTGTGTGTGTGTGTGAGAGAGAGAGAGAGAGAGAGAGAGAGAGAGAGAGAAAGAGAGAGAGAGCACAAGCACACTCTTCCTGGGTTCTCCCAGTGACTTCATTTGGTCTGAATTACAAAGATTCATTGTGACTAAAATCCATTTCACTGAAGAGCTTTGCCACCACAGGACACTGTTTTCTTATTGCAACAGCTTGATTCTCTGCTAGGTGCTTAAGCAACTATCAGTTAAATCTTCACAGATTTAAAAATATCATTTACTGATCAAAATAGACCTTAAAGACTCAAGTCACAACTTCCATGGCCTTTGAGGAGAGAATAGTTCCAGTTTCCTGTAGGGCAACAACATCAGGCTCAGATTTCACTGTTTTTCTTTCCTAGGCTAACATCAGTCAGTTGTGCAAGAGCTGGTTGCTTTAGAAATGAATTAAGTATAATATTTTATATTTATAAACTAGTTTATATGTCGAAGACTAGTAAAATATAGGATACCTGAGTCTAAAAAATCATCTTTCTTGTGTCCATTATAAGCAAAATAAGAGTTGAAATAATAACCATGTTTTCCCACAGCCTGACATCCTCAAATTCTCAACAATGTCCTTCTGTCCCCTTTTGCTCTTTTTCCTCTTCTTTCCCTTCTTCCCCTCTTTTTTTGCCCCTTATTTCTTTTTTTTTTTTTTGGTTTTTCGAGACAGGGTTTCTCTGTGTAGCTTTGCGCCTTTCCTGGAGCTCACTTGGTAGCCCAGGCTGGCCTCAAACTCACAGAGATCCGCCTGGCTCTGCCTCCCGAGTGCTGGGATTAAAGGCGTGCGCCACCACCGCCCGGCCGCCCCTTATTTCTTAAAGGATAACTTTATTTGGCCGTCTTTTCTTTTTTCATCAATGTCAGAAAAAAAAGCTAACACCACTGCTTAAATCAACACAACGGGGGCTGGGGAGGACTTCTGTAATTGTTGCCATTGGTTTAAACTTCCCAGGGACCCTGCCACACGGGAGATTAAAAACAGTGCATCATAATGTTCATCACTAACTTTGGTTTGAAAACTAGTAGTGTGTTTAAAGTGAAGCCATTTTTTAAGTTTCACAGCAAGATTAAGAGGCAGTTCAGAGATTTCCCATATACCCTCTGCCTTCCTCAGCACCAGTACCCAAGGCCACAGTGGTCCATTCAGTACAGTTGGCACCCTGCACTGACATGTCACAGTCCTCTCACCTTTAGTATATATTGATATTGAGGTTCTCTCTTACTGGACATTCTATGGGATTGAACAAATGTGAAAATTTAGTTGAACATATTCAAATGTATTTATTTTGTTATTAATTATAACAACAAACTTTCTTCCCTATTTATTGTCTTCTGCAGATTTTTTCACTCCCTGATAAAGAAGAACAAAGGTCAGAGATTTATCACATGTGTCTATTTTTTGTCGTCCTGGGCTGTGTGTCCATATTCACACAGTTTCTGCAGGTAGTTTTATTTTTCATCAAGTGATTTGCCTTTCTCCCTATTTTCATGTAAAAATCTCATCAGAGACTGCTTCTTTATGTTTCAGGGTTATACTTTTGCCAAATCTGGGGAGCTCCTTACAAAGAGGCTACGTAAATTTGGTTTCAAAGCAATTTTAGGACAAGACATTGGCTGGTTTGATGACCTCAGAAACAACCCTGGAGTACTGACAACTAGACTTGCTACAGATGCCTCCCAAGTTCAAGGGGTAAGCCTTGGGGCTGTCTGCAATGGATGCCATAACAAAATGACTTAGATGAGGCAATTTACAAATAACAGACACATTTTTCTCATGGTTCTGTAGGTCGGGAAGTTTAAGATCAAGGCTGGGTAGGTTACATCTGGTAAGGGTATATTCTCTCTTATTTGAAGATGGCACCTTCTTGCTACATCTTCCTGTGGCAGAAGGCTAGAGGGGCTGGAATTCTGTGATCACCTTCTTTTATTCTGGCTTTATTGACTCTGTTTGGGAAGACAGAATTTTACAATCCAATCATGCCCAAAGGCTCCAACAATAATACCCTGCCGTGGGAATTAGATTTCAGCATGAATCCTAGAGAAACACAATCAGCTATAGTATGTAAGTGTGAAGAGTGAGGGTCTATTACATAGATGTTCTAACCATAGAACATTCTGGGAATTATCCATGTTTCCTCTGGAATGAACTGGTAGGGCTGGGATAACCCAGAGCTTTGTGACAACAGCTGACGCACAGTGTCCCTTAGGCAGTGCCTAGAATCAGTGTTCTGGCACACATCGGTATGCTAGGATTTGGGATTTCATCTTCTCAGTCTAGCTGCTGAGACATTTTCTCAGACATTTCTAAGACCCAGAAGTGGATTTCACCAGACTCAAGTGCGCCCCCTAGATGTGGAAGGAAAAGGTGCATGGCTACGTCTTCACGAGTGTCCAGATTGATGATGTCTTTGAAAGATCCCCCTTGGGAAATGGAGAAAGATAGGCTCTCTCTCTTTCTCTCTCTCTCTCTCTCTCTCTCTCTCTCTCTCTCTCTCTCTCT